GGGTCCTCGCCCATGCCAGCCCGAGCGGACGCGCGCGACGATCTTGGCCCGGAAGGCTCTCCGGCTCTCCCCGCAGGCCGCTCCCTCTGCGCGCTCCGAGGACCCCGTCACCCACGCGCCTCTCACTGGCGCCAGCCACCGCACTGGGCTGTTCAGCCGCCTCATCCTGTGGAATGTTCTCGGGCACTCTGAGAGGGCCTGCTGTCATGCTCCCCCCGTCTGACAGCCAGGGAGCCCTTCGCCCCCAGAGCAAGTGAGTCCGGGGCTGGAACGTGATCCAGGTCTGCCTGGCTCCGAGACCTTGTCACGAGTCTGTGGCTCAGGGCCCGGCACCCAGCGGGCGCAGCACTTGCAGAAGGGACTTAACAGCATGTCACCTTCTGCGTGCCGAAAGCGTGGGTGGGGACAAGAGGCAGGCGACTGCACCACCAGCCTAGAGAGCCTTCTAGTCTGATGATGGCGGCAGTGACAGTGGCTGCCACGGCCGGGCACCTCAGCCCTCTGCCAGGCTTGGACCCCGCACTTCGGCGACACCGCCTCGCCGGGCTCCCACAACAGCCCTTGGCAGCAGGTTCTGCCACCCATCCCCACTGGCAAAGGAGGAAGCCGAGGCTCAGAAAGCACTCCTAAGCCCAAGGTCAGGGAAGTTGACTGACTCCAGCATCCTTTCTCTTCAGCGTCCCCTCGGATTGCCCCCACTCCCCAAGCAGGAATCCAAAAGAAACACCTGCAGGGGCACAAGCACGCCACACGGTGGTCCTCACGGGCCAGGAAGGCCTGACTCACCGAGCCGCATGTGCGATGTGGGCTGGAACGCCGGTGCCAGGGGCAGCTGCCACAGGGGGCTGGATCTGGATGCCTTTGGCTCTCCGGCACCTGGTGTGAGGGCGCGTGTGCTCAGGACCCCGAGGTCCCGCAGCCGCCCACCTGCCCAGGCGCCTGCCCGCTCACCCTGGCGGCCTTGTTGCTGCAGCCAGCAGCGGGCCAGCTGCAAGGCCAAGGCAGCGTTGGACCGCTGGTGCTCCCCATGCAGGCTCAGGGTCAGCGGTGGCCCCAGCTCCTCCAGTGCCTCCAGGGGTGGGCACAGGTAGAGCGGACACTGTGGAGACAGGCCCCAGCTAGTCAGCAGCGGCCTCCTCTGGCCCCGCCAGCCCAGCTCTCCGCCCCCGCCAGAAGCCACCCAGCCTGCTTCCGGAACTGAGGTGCGCTGCCGCCGGACCAACAGCAACTCAGCTTCCTCACGGCGCAAAGGGGCAAACGGAGGCCCCCAGGGAGGAAGCGCCGCCCCCCAAGGCAGACACGCCCGGTGCCGCCGTCCCATTCCAGTCAGACTCACCGAGATCTGCTGGGCCCGGTCCCTCAGCACCGCCAGGGCACCTTCAGGCTGGAGCACAGTAAAGGCGGGGACACCTGGCTGTGGGGGGGGGGGGAACGGG